GCAAAAATACGCCACAAATCTAAAATATTTAAAAATTTTAAAACATAACGACATTTTGAATAATTTTCCAGCGAAATTAATGCTTAAAACTACTTAGTTTTTAGTAGAAAGACAAAAAATGCTTCAGACCAGACCATTGTCTGGATCCTTTCCCGCCTAAACTTCCTCTTCACTTGGCTTCTTTTCTGCTTTTCTTTACTTTCTTTTTCTTTTCATACTCCACCGCCGCCTTTTAATGAAAAAGGCACAAGATGCAAACAGAAGCGAGAAAAAGAAATGGCGAAAGTGCAGGAAACATTTCATCAGGCAGGCAGGCAGGCAAGCTGGCAGGCCACACCCCCCAAACTCACAAGTGGCGCCCAACGTGGGGCACCTAAAAGTCTCATCTCTGGCTCTCGCTACATAAAGCACATTTATCGTGGTTACAAAAGCGTAAAAGAAAAGTGTGGCCCAGGGTTTTCGCCTGAAAAATGTTTCAAAAACTGTTTCAGGCTAAATGAACATAAAGCGAGCCACCGTACCGCCCTACTGCCGTACTGCCGCACCACCCAACCCTACCCCAGCCCACAACGCCCCAAGCATTGGCTTTGTTTTTGTAGCAAGAGCTGCTTTAGCTGCATCCTCGTGGGCGTCATGAAAATAAAGCCAAATTAAAATTATATCCTTTTCTTGCAGTGTATGTGTGTGGGTGAGTGGGTTTGGCACTGTGAGTGAGTCCTGGGTGGTGTCCTTTTGTATGCACAAAAGTCAACTAAGTCGTGCTCAATTTTTATGATGGCAAGACGGCAGCGACCGTCGCCACTTTGTGTGCAGCGGTAAGCCAAGTTAACAGTAAAGGGCTAGATGGCAGGTGGCAAGGTGGCAGGGGGCAGGCTCGGTTGGTGCAAATGAATGGCAGCCAGCCGCTTTATGAATGGCCACAAAAATCCACCCGATACCCACTCCAAAAACTGTGTCTGCCATACAAAAACGTGGAAAAGGGGACTACAGAGTGGAGAGTGGAGAAAAGAAATTAAATGCACTTCCTTTATGCGCAGGATTCTCATATTTTCCACCAGCCTGCCCCGCTCTACCTCCCTCTCTCGTACACACACACACACACAACGCGCTAATAATGGAAGTGCACTTTTGACACAAAAGGTGCAGTGGCGACAATGCCGGCTCCTGGTTTTTGGTCCTGGTCCTGATCCTGCTCCTGCTTCTCCTCCGGCTTCTGATTTTTTTTTTTTGCTTTTTTGCGCCTTTCCCCTTTGTTGCCTTTATTGCTCATTCGCTGCAAGGGCGATTAGTCGGTGAAAGGGGGGCGTGGCAGGCAGGCAGGACCGTCGCTCGAAGGACGAGCATCTTTTGGCAGCTACTGCTGCTGGGAATGAGATTAGAACATTTTTGTGGCATTGCTTTCACTTCATCGGGCGAAGAGGGCAATACCGAGATTGCTTTTTGTGCGCCCCCCCCCCACCCCACCCATCCAAGATGCCTCCTCCTGTGTCCTCCTGTGTGGAAGCATCATAATTTTGAGTGGCCTTTGCTGAGCAAGCTGATAATGATGATTGCAACTGGCTGATTGGCTGATTAGCTGATTGAAACACACACTCGGCCAGCCACGTCAGCAAGAACTGGTGCTGGAATCCTTCCATTTATTAACACTTGCCAGGTGATTGAAAGGCAGGCGGAAGGTCCTTCAGACATGGCACTTGTGTTGTATTTCCATTCCATTGGCAATAAAATCAAAATGGAAACTCCTCTCATAACCAAATCAAAACGAAACGAAACGAATCGAATCGAATCGAAATCAGCAGCAAAGCAAAGCAAACAATGCCCCAAAGTGCTGAAGACATTCGAGGGTACGCCGAGTATCGGTGGCGTATGAGTGATTTCACCTGGTCAGAGGAAGTGGGCATGGCAGTGGGTGCAGGCCAGGTCGCTTTTTGGGGTCAGGAGGAGGCTCTGCTTGGGTGCAGTGCAAATAAATCAAATAAATAATAAATGAAACGAAACGAATCAAATGCGAAATAAAAATCAATGGCACTCGCCACTTGAATGAATTGGAATACACCCACACACCCGCTACTTCAAGAGGCAGGGGAGTAGTGGGGAAAAGGATAAACAGCCACACACATACACACACATGTCCTGGAACAACCTTCAAGGCGAAGAGCCAGACCCAGACCCATACACTTGCAATTTGTTTTTCGGCTTGATTTCAAATAAAATTTTGCTTCATTGCATCGAAGCGAGGCAGCAAAAATGAAAGGCATTTGGGTTGTGGAGAGTACGATGTGTGTGTGCCTCTATGTGTGTATGTATGAGGGGGCGTGGCCTAGCCCCACACACTCGCACAGTCTTGCGGCGAAAAAAGAAACCTAGTTGGGCATGACTTTTGAGCACGGCTTCGGACTTTGGTCAATTGCAATTAGAAGTCACTGAAGAAGTGCGCTGCTCTCCAAGAATTCCAATGGGCTTCTCCAGCCATTCAGCCATCTGGCTATCCTGCCGCATCCTGCTGCCTCATCATCCTCCTTGGATCCTGGCTGACCTTACAGCCCCGCCCTCTGGTTGTGCCTCATAAAAATGCAGCTGGGCACATAAAACTCTGACCCAAATACTGTACATTATGTGTTTATGTGAACTCTGTCTGTTTTTTTGGGGAGGGAGTGAGGATGTAGGTCCTGGCAGTGGGAGGTCCTCCCAGTGGGCTCAAGGATGAGGAGCAGAAATTGCAACACTTGAAAACTTGAAAATGTTTTCGAGAACTTGCGCTGGCACAAAAGTTGCAAGAGGCCAACTGCAGTCCTGCCTGCTGCCTGTTGGAGGCGAGTGGGTGGGTGGTGGTGGTGGGTCTGGGCGGCCTAGGGGGACAGATTCCACCCAGAGTTCTGCAGTAATTAGTGCAAACAATTGCGCTCGTTTCCGATATCCTTGGCAACTTTTCTCTAGCGCGCCCCCCCCCTTCCTGTCCTATATTTTTGTAGAGCGGCCTCCCTTTGGCATTTTGTTTCAGCCTCGGATCTGAAATCTATATACCCCATATATATATATATATATATATTGGAAATATGAAGCATATTTTGTATACAATTTTTCCCTCTCGTCGACTTGTCGCAATAAATTGGCAAACTTGAAATCGGATATCGGTTGGCAGGCGCTTTGGCTGGCATTCCAAGAAAGTGACAAAGAAAGGCGGGTTGCCATAGTTCTTCTTCCAGGAGAAATGTCCTCATTAAATGGAAATGTAAATGCGAAATGAGAATGATTGTCTGGTGGGGGGAGGGGCAGCAGCTGCTACGACTGCCTCATCATCGATGATACGAAAATATATACTATACTAATGTAAACAAGTGAGAGAGGGGCGGCCATGCCAGAGGACACTGCAAGGGCAACTGCCTCACTTTGCATCCGACCCGTGGAAAGTATCGCATTTCCAGCGGCCCACAATCGATTTTGATATCGGGTCCGGTCCAATGCGTTGTTTTCCGTTTTCCATTTTCCATTTTCCTTTCTTCTTTTCACTCCATTGTTTCGGTTTTGGTTTTAATTTGTGAAGAGCTTGTTGTCTTTTTGGTTTTAGTTGTTTGGCGTTTTCATTTCCACAATCGACTTATCTTTGGCCTTGCTATATTGAGAGGATTATCTATTGATATCGCAGCGATTGAAGTCTATCGATTGCAATCGATTCCATTAGTTTTTTTTCCTTATAATAATCGTTAATCGAATGCATGTTTTTGAAACTTGAATACTCTATCGAATCGATTGGTGGGGCTATAGGTTATCGCTACTCTGGAGTCGATATATATTTCCAATTTCCAATATTATATTTTAGTAATATTTCTACTGCTCTTGAATAACCATATTTTTTCAAAGCCCGCCCAGGAATAGCGATGAGAGTTATGGCCTTCGATAACAGGCCTCCACCAATCGATAATACCATCATTCGTTTTCCGTGCACTCCACCCATCCACCTCACCGTCCTTCATCACACTGTTTCGATCCTATTCGGTATTTTTGGAATTTCGGAGCTTGTGGATAAATGTTGGAGGATCCGAAATAGATTGGCATTCCAGCCTCTATGCCTCTATGCTCCGACTTTCCCCATTGTCTCCAAGCTGCGTGCCAAATGCCATTTGCACTTGCACTCCAGAAACCTCCAGAAAAAAAAGAAGAAAAAATTAAGGAAAGGAGCAACCGACTGCTCATTGTCGGACATTCATTCGATTCATTCCACACACACCCACATAGACTCACAGCCTCCCGCAGACCAGACAGACAAACATCCGGAAAGGAGTTGCAATAATTGAATTACCCAAAACCAGGCAAACACTTTGAGGTAGCCCCGCAAAGAATTTCCACCCCCCAGGAAGCCAAACACACACTACAGATACTACAGTTTGAGATACAGATACTACCGATACCACAGACACAAAAGTACAAAAGTAGAGAAGAATTCCTGGCTCCGGCGACAATATCTCCACCCCATCTCATGCTCCCCCATTCTGTCTCTATCTCTCTCTGTCTATCTCTACACACTCCACACCTTCCCTATATATATATATATAACTATATATAATCTTTATATAAATCAACCTAGACCTATATTATATACATATAATGCATTTGACCAACAACTACAGCCACAGTTACAAAACGAAACATATAGATATCTAGTGTAATTATTATATAAATATTTTCCAAAATACTTCTTCAAATTTGTGCATACGTTTCTTTATTATTCATTCGGTTTGTTGTCCTTTAGTGCTGCCCGAGTGCTGCGAATCGCAGCAGTGTCGCTTTTCAGTTTTCCCCATTTCCATCAACTACAACCAGACCCCACATACAAAATACAAATGCTCAATGTTATCATCACCTTTTCAAAACGTATAATTTCGACCACAGACCTAAATTAGAAAGAATCCAAAATACGATACCTAAATGCTATATAAGTGCCATGTAACTAACAATACTATTTCTATTTTTTGCGCCTCCACCAAATAAATAATAAACAGTCGCGTTTCCGTGATGAGGGGCCAGGTGATCACGCCCCAGGGCCTGGGTATCGTTGGAATTCGAGTGTCCGTGGACCGTGACTCGCGATTTGGATTCACATTGACCCGTCAAGGAGGATGGTGAGTACTAAACACTTTTTTTTTTAATATTTTGTGCGAAAAAATAGCAAAAGTTACAGATTTCAGAAAAATTTCTAGAAAATAATACAAAAAATATTAATTTTATTTACCTCATGGGCTTCGAACTTAGTATTCTAGTGCCTAACAGACGCTTAACAGTCGCGAGTTCAATTTTATTCGAAGGAAATGTAATTTTAAATACTTTTTTTTGTTTTAAAATTTAAAGAAAGTTATTCTTACGAGTCTATACAGACGTGAGTTAAACCCTGCAAAGGTTTAATATTTCTTAAAATTTTTTTTGTTTCAAAAGAAGAGAAAGAATTACTTTCAAGGCTATATTTTAAGATGCAATTGCTTAAAAAATACATCATTTATAATTTTTCTTTATTTATTTAACATCATTCTTACATTAACTTAAAAGCATTTTACTAGTATTATTAAAATCATTATTATTTGACTGAAATCATTAGTATCAGTTAGTATTAGTATTATAAAATACGCTTAACAGCCCCTTAACAATCGCGAGTTTGATCCCGTGCAGGAATTAATATTTTGTAGAATTTTTTTTGGATTTTTTTTTAAAGAAAAGTAAGATGCGTATGCACACAATATATTATATTTTATACATTTTCTTGGCAAATGCAAATTATTTACGTATGGATGAGTTTGGAAAGTCGTGGGTCGGGTGAGCGTAACTTTTCCGTTGATTAAATTCTGCTGATGGAATCCGCTGATGGCCAGAAGCACTGCCAAGCGGCCAAAAATAAAAACAACAACAACGAAAAAAAACGATGAGAAAAATATATATATGAAAAATGGATAAAGAGATGGGGGGATGGTAAAAAATGCGGAAAAGGTGGATCCAGGCCATCCATGTCGGAGCAAGTTATCATATTTTTAATTAAATCTTTCGCTTTGATGTTGGCGAAAAGTTCTTGGGGCTGTCCTCAAGTTTACACAAGTGGTTAGCATAATTAGAGCAGCAGTGCGTTGATGTCCTGTCGTCCTGCCTTTCGTCCTGTGTGGCTGGACCGCAATATTTCGACAACGATTGGCTTTCAACTGGCAACTGGCATGGCAATCGGTTGGGAGCAAGAGAGATAGTGTGGGGTATTAGTTTCAATTATTTGACATTTTATTCGAATTGCTTTTTAAGCTAAAATGGAAAGGTCCTTTGGATGCGAGTTGTGCAGTATTTTCTCTAATTGAGCCCATCAAAGATGCATAGACAAAATATTTTCTCAACTGTAAAAGGACATTTTTGATTGTGTGAGAGAGAGGAGGAAGTGAGGAGTCCTGCATAGTCCTTGCAGACGATGCAAACGATGCTAACGAAAAAGATGGCCAACAATCCAATATATCTAATATAAATATTTTTGCAGTTGTTTTTCTTTCTGTAAAAAGGATTTCCGTTTGCTGCCATCAGCAACATTGTTTGCTGTCCTTGTTGTTTTGGCATTTTCTTTTTAGCCCAGATTTTCCTCTATATGTATATGTGTGTATATGTGTTTGTGTATCCTGGCCAATTTAAATAAACATTTCGCACCCGACTTTGTCTGATTTTATTATGGGCAAGCGCAGCGTGCAAACAAAAATCTGTGCTTGTGTGCATCAGACGGACGGAAAACTCCGACTGTCTGATGATTATTTGTGTTTACTTTTCCACACACAAACAGGGACGCACATACAGGACTCTATACAGGACTCTCTACCTTTGTTTATTTCAATCTCGCTTTGGCAAATATTAAGGTATGCCCCGGTATACCTAGTACATTCTCTCCTCTGTGATTACAGTTTTTACCTTCATGTGGATGTGGCCATAATTTCTCATTAGGCCAATGGGCAATGGGCAATGGCCAAGTAAGCGACTGGCTCTCTCCAATCGCCCAAAAAAAAAAATGTCCTGGCCAGGGCTCGCCTTCTTATTTATGTATTTTTATTATGACAACTTTGTTGTTATTTATCTTGGGGGTTTCCCTTCTTCTCGAATCTTTTTCTTTTCTCTTCCTTTCTTTCTTGTTTATTTTTTCTTCTCTTCTTTTCTTCTCTCTGAAGGACTTTAAAGTTGTCCCTGTGTGTGTGTGTCCTGGCCTTGTTATTTTTTATGTCTCTGTGGGAGTGTGTGTGTTGGCCCGCAATAATTCCTGTTTATGTTGGCATTATTTTTCAAGAAAATTGTTTCAAGAGTTGATGGCTAAATCTTTTTAGCTTTTTATTTTTATGTTTTTTTTTAAATTTTTTATTTATTTTTAAAGTTAATATATTTTTTAACTAAAAATTTAGAGGATTTATGTTGTTTTCTTCACTGGAAGTTGCAGCTGTTGCCTGGAAGAACTTTTCCATTTCTCGGCCCAATAAGCAACAGTGTGTGGTTGGCCACCCACCTCCCCGCCACACTCACACACACTCTAACACACACATGTGTGCTCTCCTGCAGGATTTTATGGTTTTGTATTTATAATGTTTATTTCAATTCTTGGCTTTTATTACTCGGACTTGGACTTGGTTCTTGTTGCTCCTTTTTCGGGTTGTCCTGTTTAATTTTTTTCCACTTCGTGCTCTTCGTCCTTTTCGTCCTGCCAGTACCACCCCCACTAACATGCATTGTTGTTGTCATAGTAATAAAGGTAATAAAAGTCATTATATTGTGCTGCAGGGGATTATTGTTGGCATTTTTTATTGCATAAGTATTATTAGAGTTTGGCCGCCGGAACGTATGTCTCCGTGTGTGTCCTTTCCGCTAAATGGTTGGAGCTGGAGCCACCCCCCCACAACCACTAAGAACCACCCACTAGGCCCTCCCTCCGGTCAGGATCATAAAATCCAATTCAATTACAAATGAATGAATGCAATGCCCTGGCCACTGTGTGTGTATGCCACTGAACGAAATAGTTTCTCTCTCTTGAAGTGGAATATGTAGTCTGACTGGCAGACTATTTTGCTCAGTGTAGTGGCCATAAAAGCGGGGAAAAAACACTAAAATTAAATTAGCAAAAATTGTAACAAATATTACAAACAAACGGGTTTGTGTTTGGTTTTGCTGATGCCACTTTATGAGATTTTTAATGAAATGCATCCCCTGTTTATGGACATGTTTATGGGTTCGGCTTTGGCGGCCTTCTTTACGAGCCAATTCAATTGAATGTTTCTCATTTAATTGCAAATATTTGTATTTGTATATTTTTGTTTAAAAAATAGAATATATCCTGAGAGAGGGATAGAGCTTCTTCTCGCACGCTCACAAAACACAATTAAAAATCGCATTAATTAAATATTTCAAAAGCAAAAGTTTTTCGCCATTTCTTGGCCCTCTTAGCCCTGTTGCTAGGCTGCTCTGTTGCTGTTGTTGTTTTTTTTGGCCCTTTTGTTTCTTCAACATCTTCTGCTTCTTGTTGGCCAACAAGTAGAACTTTCTGCAACTTTTCCAGTAACTGCAATGCGAATTTTCTCTTGTAATAAGACAGAGATGGAGGTGGAGGCGGCTTCGCAATCGCCATCATTATATTTAATGCGGCTAACGCATGACCCCCTAAGGGGGAGGGGGTCTTAACTTATGCTCTGGTCCTGGTCTCACCATCCCACCCATCCAGCACCCCTCAGACTCTAAAGTTTTTCAATTTTCCACAAACAATCGAGGCATTATCTGAGACGTCCTGCTGCCCCACCTTGCCGAAGGAATCGGAATTAGAAATGAAAAGTACCGGCCAGAGAGGGGGGGCAGGACTAGATAGGGGAGGCCAGGACCCCCGTCAAGTTCATTAAAATATTAATTTGCATGTTTGCCCAGAAACTTTCGCACTAATTTCGTATTCCGTTTCATATTTGATGGCCGCCCTGAGTCTGACGCATCTCCCTCTTCTCCTCCCTAGGTTCGATGTCCTGGTAAACGGTGGCGGAGCGGTGACCTTGCAGTTCCAGCGCTCGCCCTTCCGGCCCCTGACCCGCACCGTCTTCGTGCCCTGGAACAGGATCGTGGTGCTGCCGCCGGTCCAGATGCAGCTCAGCGATGACGATGAGACCACCAGCAGGAATATCAAGTGAGTTTTCCCAGGCTATATAGTACTAGATAGTCCCCCCCTGTATCCTTTGATATCCTTAATATTTTATTTTGAAACTCAATTTCCAGGGTGTCACCTCTGAACCCCGCTCTGACGTTCCTCAACTCGATCCACTACCACACCGCCGACGAGGCCAACGACGCCAGCAAGGTCTGCATGGATCACGACCACGAGAAGCTCCGACCCCAGCTGATCAGCACCTGGATGCCCAACGGCGTGGGAGCGATGCCCGGCAAGCGGGTCATTTTCGCTGAGACCCAGGTGGGTGGAGTGGATGTCCTTCTCCTCCCTCATCCCTCTTTGGGAGGGGGGAGACGCCATTCCTAATTAGCAGCGCTCTGGCAGCAGCTGGCTGGACGCAGCGGCGCACTTTTAATTAATTTAAAGTTTGCCTTAATGACATTATAACTTTGCATCTGGGTGGGCAGAGGGCAGGCGGCAGGGGGAGGAAGGACCCAGGCAGGACATTAATTCAGGCGGAGCTGAGAAAGGAATCTCGCCTGTAAGGCGTAATGCGTTTAATTGCAGCCCTCGAACCTATCCAGCTGCGGTCACCGGCAGACACTTTTCCGTTTCCGGCTGGCCTTTGTATGTCCTTCCCCTACCCCTCCTCCTCCCAAGACCCAGGACCCTAAGGCCACAAATTATGACTTGAAAGACCTCTTAACCCTTAACCCTTTCTCTGTTTCATCCACAGATTGTCCAGGAATCCATCCAGATACCCGGCTCAGACCTCCACCTGACCTACCAGTCGTCGCAGGCCAGCGGCTACCTGAGCATCGTGCGGATGCGGCTGACGGCGGACACCATACCGCCGACCCTCACCCACGTCCACGTGGGCGTGGAGATCGAGGGGGCGCTGCACGTGAAGACCTACGAGGCGGACCCCAGTCTGGTGCACACGTTCGCGTGGAACAAGCGCAACGTCTACCGGCAGAAGGTGTACGGGGTGACGGTGGCGAGGATCTCGGTGGGCTACCAGCACAGCACCTGCCAGTCGCCGGTGTGGATCGCCCAGACGGCCAAGCTCCAGGGCTACGACGTGGACATATCGGACATCGGGGGCTGGGGCCTGGACATCCACCATCACTACAACTTCCACGAGGGCATCCTGCAGAAGGGCGACGGCAGCACGCTCCACATGAAGGAGTATCCGCGTACCGTTAAGGTGGTGATGGGCACCGGCCTCCAGCGGCCGCTCACCTGCCCGGACTACTGCAACGGCGTGGCCAAGGACGCCAAGCTACTGACCCCCATCGCCCTGGCTACCGGCCCCGACGGCAGCCTCTACGTGGGTGACTTTAACCTGGTGCGTCGCATCACGCCCGACGGCAAGGTCTTCACCATCCTGCAGCTGAGCGCCACCCAGGTGTCCTACCAGTACTACCTGGCCGTCTCGCCCGCCGACGGACACCTCTACATCTCCGATCCGGAGCGCCACCAGATCCTGCGCCTGCTGCGCCTCGAGAAGGTCAAGGACCCGAGCATCAACAGCGACCCGGTGGTCGGCAGCGGCCAGCGGTGCATTCCCGGCGACGAGGGCAACTGCGGTGACGGCGGTCCGGCGCTCCTGGCCCGCCTCTCCCATCCCAAGGGCCTGGCCATCGCCGCCGACCGGACCATGTACATCGCGGACGGCACCAACATCCGAGCCGTCGACCCCAAGGGAGTTATCCACACGCTGATCGGCCACCATGGCCACCACAACCACTGGAGCCCGGCGCCCTGCAGCGGCACCCTGATGGCCAACCAGGCCCAGCTGCAGTGGCCCACCGGCCTGGCGCTGAGCCCGCTGGACGGCTCCCTGCACTTTATCGACGACCGTCTGGTCCTGCGACTCACCTCCGACATGAAGATCCGCGTGGTGGCCGGCACGCCGCTGCACTGCAGCAACGGCGGACAGGACGGGCGCGTGAACAAGACCGGAACGGATAACGTCCTGGGCACTGTGCTGGCGATGGCCTTCTCGCCGTTCGGTGACCTCTACATAGCGGACAGCGACTCGCGGCGCATCAACTCGATCCGGGTGGTGGACACGGCCGGAAACATGCGTTACTTTGCCGGAAAGCAGGAGGGCACAGGGTGAGTACTTCTCCTCCTCCCGCCAAGGGTCGATAATAATCAGTTACTAGGAGATGTCTGTATGCGATATGGGGGGGCTGGCCATAATTGTGGGTACTAGTGCTGGGGCTTTTGTCGACTTATCAAAGTGCACAGAATGTAAATAATTCCGGGGAGCATTCCGAGGGGTTGGAACGGGAACGGGAGCGGGCATAGCCTCGATGGTGTATTCCGGGTATGTGGTCGGAATACCCGACTATTGCATTCTTAGTTGTTTTATGCTCGCAAATATTGACTGGCTACTGGGTCAACATAACAGGGAATTTGGTCAGCAGGCCGCTGGCCAAAAACCGAATAGAGCGGAACTGCAAAAAGGGATGAAGGACGAAGGTACAGGGGTACTGGCGGAGTGGTCGGGTTGACTCCACTTCCCGGACTTGTTTATGCGCATACTTGACCCAATTAAGTGAGCTCTGGGCTATTTGCATATTGCCGAACGATATCAGCCAATTTTTCAAAATGTCTACCAAACGGCACAGGGGGATACCGAAAGGGATAGCAAATAGAACGAACGAAAGAGAGGGGTATACATAGTAGTATGTGTAGAGTGTAGAGTGGGGCATAAATAATAAAAATTCAGCAAGAGAAGCACAAAATTGCCAATGCACCAAAACGGCCATAAATGTCAGGCCAACTAGGCAATACCCCCCAGAGTATGTCTCTCTGGCTCTTTCCCTCCTTTGACATGCCTCTCTCTTTCGCACTTTTTCCAACATGGCCAACATGGTCAGCATGTGTGTGTGTGTGTGTGTGTGTGTGTTAACTTTATTCGACTTTATTAACCCATTTTGAAGGCATCGGTGACCAGAAATTAATTGGAATTCTCACATTGGGGAATTTCATTGTCTGATTTTTCATGGCCCCTCCAGTATATAGCTTCATACTATATACTATATACCCCTATTGGTATATGGGAGTGTTGTGTTCTAGTGGCACTAAAGCCATTTGCATTTTGTGCATTGATTAAATCGGGGAGAGTAGAGGGCAGAGGGTGCGGCAGGCACTCAGTTCAGTCAATGAACTTCAATTCCAGCCCCAAGTGCAATAATTTGACGGCATTTTGATGGCATTGGTATTGTTCAGGGTTGGTCAGCCTAAAGAGCTGTAAAGTTTAAAAGCTAGTGTTGTAAAGTAATCAATGAAACTGGTTTTATTTGAGGCTAAGCTTTAGCAACTCTATCAGTTAAGGCTAAGTAGGCAACTAACTTTTATTTGACGAAAGGAATAGTTATCTAATATTGGTCAGCCTTAGAAGCTAATAAATTATTAAACCAGTGTTGTAAAGCAGCAAATGAAATAGGCTTTAATTGAGGCTTTCTTACACTTTCAGCTAAGACCTACTAAACGAATGATAATATTTTGAGGGAAGAAGTTATTTTAGCAAAACTTCTTTTATATTATTTTTCATAAACCAAGTCTTAAAATAAAGTATCCAAAACTACCAAAGCCACAACTAGTGCAACAAAGTCCCATTAAAACCCCGCTTTAAATAGCACTTACCAACACTCCCAGCGTACATCAAACCAATTAATTCGGTTCGTTGAGTGGCAGAAGAATTAAAAATAAAAAAAAAAAGAAAAGCAGTCGGACTCTAGACTGAATATTTGGACTCACTGTTGATTTTAGCAAATAGAATTTCTGCTTCTTGCCGCTGGAAGGACCAGGGGTCATGTGAATGGCGTCAGGTGCCAGCAAGGGGCAAGACGTAGCTACTCAGATGCCTTCAAGTGGGCGTGGCCGGCAGACGTGGCAAAGTAATTAGCGGCCGTCGCGCCACAGACAGAAACTATAAATCAACTTTTCACTCTCTTTTTCTCCATCTTTTTTTTTTGGGAAAATAAAGGGGGGGAGTGCGACTGGCAAGGGTTAAGGGTTGGGGGTTGGGGGGCGTCCGTGTCTGTTGCGTGGGCGTGGCAGCGATAAGCGGCGACCGTAGCCTGTTTCACTTTAGACTGTTTATCGAACAAACAATGTCATCATAAATATGCGTCCCAAGCAGGAGAACCGGGTAGCCAGCCGGGCATAGGCTGGCTGGCTGGCGCAAAAGGGTTAAGATACGAGAGGATGGGGGGTGTGCCGGCCAAGGGTTAAGGGTGTGGACTGGCTAGATTAGAAAGGATATGAAAGGATATGGGTCTTTTAATTTATCAAACAAGAACACGAACGAGTATCAGCTTTCCATTACAAGCCATGGCATTTATTTCTTAAATTCTTTTAACTTAAATATTAAATATTAAATACTTAAATTATTTATAAATAATTACTAACCTTACTATATTTTCCAATCCAGATCCCAGACCTGCGAATGTGCCATCGGTGGCGGCAGCAACGGCAGCTCCGCTGGTGTGGGTCATGGCGCCGGTGGCGCCTACTCCACCACCGTGAATCCCACGCGAAATAATGGCGGCACTACGCCCACCACCCCCTCGGGCGGAAACGGAAGCGGAAACGGAAATGGCAGCGGTTCGTCGGCAACTTCGGGCGCCTCCGGCAGCAACGGGCCCAGCAATGGCAATGGCGGCGGTGCCTCTGGCGGCAGTGGTGCGTGCATCTGTGCCGGCGGCATTGGCGTCTCGACCGGATCCGGCTCGATCTCCGGCAATGGAGCGGGCGGCACCCTGGCCAGCATCGTCGGCGGCGGCGGTCTGATGTCCACGGGACCCACCACCACCACCACTGTGCTGTTGGGCGCCAAGACCACAGCGTCGGGCATCGGTGGGGGTGGCGGTGCAGCGACCTTGAACGATGACGGTACGCTGAGCAATGCGGAGACCCTGCTCTCCTCGAATGCCCGATTCCAGGCTATATCCGCCATAGCAGTGGCCCAGGATGGTGTCATCAATGTGGCTGATCAGGGTGAGTTTATGTTTTTTTGATATTTATGATATAATGTTCTATTATAATAGAGATTAGGGGAGTGGGGAAGAGGTATACTGACTTGTTGGTGGAAATGCGATTAGGGTTCTTAAAAGGAGAATATAATATGGGCTGAGAGTAAAATTCAGACTGATTAGAAGTGGTATAGGGTTTACTTTCCCTATCAGAATGTCCTTATAGCCATTTATCTGTCATATTTGGAAATATAATATATAGAGATCTGTTATTAGGATTATTAATGGTATAATGTTCTATTACAATAGGGAGTATGGTAGCGGGAAAAGGGTATATAATTTTGTTGGTGGAGAAATGAATTGCTGGGCTTTAAAGGAGTGTGTAATAGGGGCTGAGAGTTAAATTCAGACTGATTATGTATATATATTTTCTTGAAACTGTCATTTATCATATTTGGAACTATAATCTATATATAAATATTACATCTAATAATCCCTTCTTATTAGAAAAATTTATGATATAATGTTCTATTATAATAGTAATTATTGAAGCAGGGCAAGGCTATAAAGACTTGTTGGTGAGAAATAAGATTAAAGAACTTGAAAGGGCAGTGTAATATAGGCTCTGAGCAAAATTCAGAAAGATCAGAAGTAGTTGAAGAAAAAAAACCTACATCCATCTCAAGCCCATGTTGTTGCGGCAACTGTCATCTGATATAGGAAATTTGTCATCTTCTGGGCCCACCACACCCATATCCTTTAGGTGGGTGTGTGTTTCTTTTGTCCACAACTACACACACAGACATAAGAACAAGAACAGCAAGAATACAATTGCATGGAAAATGGAACATTTCCTTTGGCAAATTTTCCTCAGCTGGCACTTGTTCCCTTTCTTTTCTTTCGCTTCTTCTTCCCTTTCATCTGGCACTTTGGTCATAGAGAGAAAAATAGAAAATGTTAAGTGAAGGGAATAGAAGAACAGTAACCGGAAGTTGAATTTCAACATATTGCGAAACACACACACACACAGAGAGAACCACAACAACGGTACACAGAAATACAGTTATAATAATGACAGAATTGTTGTTGTAATTGGCCATTACGGGGGGGAATGGAGGGGGGAGGTTGTGGAGAAAAAAAAGGAAAAGCGAAACCAATTTCCGTTACAATTCGAACGAGGACAAATTAGGAAGTACTCTCCTCCTGGTACTTGTATATATATATATTTTTTTGGATATATATATAGATGTATTCCCCAGGTAACTGTAGGAAACACACAAAACAAAATGGCCGCCAATAAATTGTAAGGAAGAGGAAGAAAAGCCGTTATAAAAGCGAAAAACGAAAAGCTCAGAAGGCACGGAAGGTATAAATTTGAGTGCATTAGTGGAGCGTAATTTGATAAGACCAGAAACGTAATTAATAAATTTCCACAAGGGTACAAAAAAGGTAGGCCACGAGGAGGGCTAGAGTCTAGAGTCCCCATCCCTCCCCCTCCCCTCCCAAAAAATACAGTGGGTGGACAAAAGGGTGGATCATCATCATCATCATCATCGTCGCCCGGCAAAGTTGCTGTGGAAATTAATGAAAAGGCCCGGCCCAGAGATGAAGCCGTGGAAAGCAAATCAATGGCTATAATTAATCAAGTTTTAGTCTGTGTTGGTAGTGGTGGTGGTGGTGCACACGTGTGAGTGATGGCTCTCTGTATGTATGTGTGTTAGTATTGGTGTGAAAAGCGAAAAAGTAAAAATCAATCTTATTACCTACGCGGCTTCCAATTGGCAAAACTTTGCTCGTCCTTCCACAAAAAAGGACTCCCCCCCCTTTGCAAAAACATTAATCAACCGAGAGAGAGAGAGGGAGTGTGTGTGTGAGCAGACAAGACACATACAAATGTACGAATTTTAGATCCTTTTTTCCCACCATACCCCTAAGGGGTTGCCCTCCAAAACGTAAATAAGCTTCATTAGCAGCTCTCGCACCTTAAGTGGCCTGCCGCAGTCGTCCTTTGGCGAGTGGTGAGTGTTTGTGAAAAATTATTGCATTAATTGTAGTGCCAGGATGCAGGATACAAGAAGGATATAAATATAAGGAACCTTTTTAGGGGGTAGCAGTACAATGCAATGTCCTTTTTAAGAAGTCTGAGGTTCTTATTATGAGGTTCTATTATGAGAACTTACTATACCGGGAGAGGAACTATAGTGTTTATAGATTAGGAACTATATCCTTATCCTATATCGTATATCCTTAGACCATCTATAGAACTTTCATAGAAGGGTTTTAAAACAGACTCTCTTCACAAAACTACTTTCAAAGTATATATTTTTAAAACCTAGATACTTTCTTGAAGAAAAAATCCTTATTTTGATCCTTATTTTTATCCTTAAAGCTTAAATCCAAAAAAATATAATCCCCTCGCCATGGCCAGCCTCCCACTTTTCAATCCTCAACATTTTTCCGCCCATCGATATCAATTTGGCCAGCGATTTGGACATATGCCAGCTAGCCATGACGACTGTTTAAAACTCGGGACTCGGGACATTGGCAGGACACCTCCTCCGTCGCGGTCTAGGGGGTCTAGGGTGGGTCCTACTGATGGAGGAGCAAACATTCGGCGACACAATGGCAACAACCCTTTGCACTGGGCACAAACAAGTTGTTCAGTTTATGGGGTCATTACCATTACATTACATTACAACTCACCCACATACATACACGCATATGCCCTCCAGAGCAGGGGCACGGGGGCAGAGGTCGAGGAGGTGGTGGGTGGCCACCAACCTCCGGCTGAGCGTCACACATTTATTGCATTGAAATTCGCTCAATCGCTGGCCTGGCGCTCTGCCAATTCGAATCCAATGCCAATGGCCCGGCTTACAACTGGCTACACTGACAGAAATCAGAGATTTAAATTCTGGAGAGTAATACCCACAAAAAAGATAAGTTTCTTTCAGTGTTTCAGCGAAAACCCGAAACCAAAATGCTCCTCTAAAATGAGACCATAATGGCTTACGCTCCAACTGCAGAGAAATGTGGGCGTTCGCTCGGTCATGTGTCTCCAGGATGGAATGGCGCGGCATCCATACGGCAGCCTGAGCTCTATGTGTCCTGTGTCCCATGTCCCAGGTCCTAGGTCCTAGGGTAAATGAACTGTAACGCAATCAAATCAACACTGCCCTCACCGCAAGCCAAACAGCCAAAACAGCAATACCAAATACCAGAAAAGGCAAAGCCACCAGCCACCATCCAGGGTCAGAGCCAGAGCTGGAACTGGAGCTGGAGCCAGAGCAGGAAAAGCAATAAGAATAACCCACAATGTATTTAATATTTTTATTGTGATATGTGAGTCGGAGAGACCAATGGCACATAATTCGCAATCAGCGGTGAATTGTTGCATACAATAATTGTGCGAAATTGATGTTTATGGGGTTGGGTTTCAGGGCAGTGGTAGGGTGGCCGAGTGGGGTCTTTTCTAGTGTTTTTAGATGATAATTATAAACATGACATGGTTATATTCGGTTGAAAATTAAGGAGATTCTTGAGAAAGGGTCTAATAATAAGGACACAAGGATGCAAGACATACTTTCTTCTATCTTAGAGATCCCCTCCGTTTTATTTTCTTCAATTATTCTAAGAGGTTTCATTCTAAACTGTCTACCTAAGGACAGGTGGGAATGGGGCATGGGACATACTTCATTCTATCATATCTTGAAGATTCTTCATATTTTACTTCAAAACCCTACTGGGAGAGAAGGATGAAACTTGGCAGAGTTATAGTCTCTTAAAACTTAAGAAAACTCCTAAATAAAGAGCCTTTTATGGGAGAGAAACAGACAAACAGACATGGGGCATACTTTCCACTATATATGGTTGTATCTTAAAGAGCCCCTATCTTCTACTTTGTACACTACTAACGGAGTTGGATGTCTGGGAGTGTTTTCAGATAATATATTCTCTTAAAAAATAAAGAGCTTTGCAATAAAAAAGAGCCTTGTAACGGACAAGCGGACATGGGGAATACTTCCATGGGGAATAGATTCCCCTACCTTCACCATCAACCCCTAATTACAGGGGTTCTACTACAAACTAGTGGAATTCTTGTTGTATTGCTTTCAGATGTTATTTTTGGACATATTCTCTTAAAAATTCTTTTAACGGACATAGGGTATCCTACCCACCTGGGTATCCCCCACCTTCCACCTTACCCAGCTATCCAAGCTTTGCTAGAAACAAGAAAAATAATAAACTCCCAAGACCTGGACCCTATTTATCATAAAAAGTATACCATTTTTGGTTGTGGTTTTGCGGGCAAGTTTCGCCAGCAATGATGTAAAGTTAATGTGCTCTTGAGATCCATTCCTGCCCCAGTTGGTTTCTTAGACAAAACGTTGTCATCTTTCCCAGTCCACACCCAATGGAGAGTCTCCACTACCCAGTCCATAGTCCATATAGCCCCCCTTGCTTGTTTGCAATGCAAAGCCATCCAGGGGATGAAGAACCGGCAAGTGAGACGGAAGGCAAGCAAATTTATGCAAATCCAAAGCGATTTTCAACACTAACTAAAATGAAACGCTTCTCTGGTTCTGGTTCTGGTTCTAGAGCTGGCTATGGCTATGGACGCGTACTGGGAGGTGCTGAAGCAAATTGCACAAAAATACTTAAGACAGTCGCCCGGAAAACATGCCCACACCATTTTGTATTTGTGCATTTGCAGTGATTCATTCAAAAGCTGGAAACTGCTGGAAAGTCCTTCCCAAAGAGGGGAAAGGACTCTGTCAGGACTCTATTGGGGAGGGAAGAACAGTAAAAACAAACAGCTGCAGGAACTTGGCGTTTAGCTTAAGCAAATGATCAACAAACCCCGAAAATGGACAGTTGGACAGTGGAGGAGGCAGGAGGTAGGGACTCGAATTCAGATGCAGATGGAGATGCAGATTCAGATTAAGACCGACTGGGGCCATAAAGGAAGTGCGAATAAATTTGATGACCAGTTAAAAGGAATTGAGTCCAAGAAGCAGGCAACAAGGAACAAGGAGCAGGGACTAAATGAGTCAATTATCTGGGCAGTGGGGTGTCGGGATACCGAAGGGGGAGTGCAACTTTTTTTTATGGCCCAGCGGAGCAGAGTGTAATCAAAAGCCAACAAAAAAGTGTGGCCATAAAGAGCGAAATCACTTGATAAGCTCCAGGTGTGCACACTCCTGCGAAGGCGAATGTCCTTCGACTTTATCGACTTCTCTTTTGGGCTAAACCCCTCCGCTTTTCTTCTCATTTCAGGATCCCTGCATGTCCTGGCCTTGGAACACTATCTGCCATCGCACGACGAGAACGGCGAGTTCCACATTCCCTTCCCGCCGTCCAGCGAGATCTACGTCTTCAACCGTTACGGCCAGCATGTGGCCACCAAGGACCTGACCTCCGGCAAGACCCGCTACAGCTTCCTGTACTCCAAGAACACCAGCTTCGGGCGACTGTCGACGGTGACCGATGCCTCCGGCAACAAGATCCAGTTCCTGCGCGACTACAGCAACGTGGTGAGCTCCATCGAGAACACGCAGGACCACAAGTCCGAGATCCAGATCAACGGCATCGGCATCATGACCAAGCTGAGCGAGAAGGGTCGACAGGAGATCGAGCTGGACTACGACAGCAACACCGGGCTGCTCAACTCGCGCTCCTCCGGCGGCGAGACGTACATCTACCAGTACGACGAGTTCGGCCGGGTGACCGGCATGATCCTGCCGAGTGGCGAGATCGTTAGGATTACCTCACAGCTGGCGGACAGTCAGGGCCTGACCGTCTACGTCCACGCCTCCGTGGAGTCCTTGTTCTCCCGCGAGCGCATCTCCGGCGAGGCCAACGAACTGCTCGTCCTGGGCGGAGTCCGGTCCACGTTCCTCAAGCGCGGCCAGGCCCACGCCGATGCCGAGCTGAAGGCCAACAACACCCTGGTCATCCACGGCGACAACGGCGTGGTGGTGGAGTCCTCCGCCGTCGCCCGACACCCGCTGCTGGAGGCGGCCCTGCCCGTCGAGGCCGAGATGCTGGCCATGTGGTCGCACCAGAGCGTCACCATGGGCGAGGGCCTGACCAACTCCATGTACTCCGTGTACAGCCTGGTGGGCGATGTGCGAAACCCTCAGCAGACCCTCAACCGGGAGATCTGGGTGAACCAGTCGCGGGTGATCGGCGTGGAGTTCGACCAGTTCACCAATCGGGAGACCTTCTACGACGCCCGGCGCACCCCCATCCTGATCGTGGCCTACGACCAGTCCGGCCTGCCCAAGAGCTACTACCCCACCAACGGCTATCCGGTGAACATCACCTACGACCGCTTCAACCGCGTCGAGGGCTGGGCCTGGGGTCCCGCCGAGCTCAAGTACAGCTACGACCGGCACGGCCTCCTCTCGGAGATCACCTCGCAGCAGGACGGCATCGTGTCCTTTGTCTACAACGACTGGAACCTGGTCTCCGAGATCGGGCTGGCCAGCCAGCGCAAGTTCGTCCTGCAGTACGACGACGCGGGAGGTCTGCGGCACGTGGTCCTGCCCTCCGGCACGCGGCACAGCTTCAGCATGCAGACCTCGATCGGCTTCATCCGGTGCACCTACACCCCGCCGGGCAGCACGCGGGCCTACCTCCAGCACTACAGCCACGCCGGTGCCCTGCTGCAGACCATCCTTCCCGGAGACGGAGCTCGGATCGTCTACCGCTACAACGCCGCCGGCCAGCTGACGGAGGTCGTCCACGGCGACGGCCGGAGTGAGTTCCAGTACAATGAGGCCACCGGCATGCCGAGCACGGTGTCGCATACGGAGCGGGAGCTGGAGTACCGCTGGGACTTTGAGTACTCCGCCGGGCTGCTGTCCGAGGAGCGGATCGACTACGTGGCCAAGACGGGCCTGAGCAACGCCAAGTTCAGCTACGAGTACGACTCCCAGCTGCGGGTGGTGGCCCTGCAGGGCAGGATCGGCGGCCAGAGCCTGCCCTCGCAGGCCTTCGCCTACGATCCTCGCACCGGACGCCCCAGCCTGATCGGCCAGTTCCGGTTCTCGCAGCCGGCCCAGAACCAGACGCAGCTGCACGACGGCACCGCCAGCTTCACGCGCACCGTGGACGGCCGCTTCCAGACGCAGCGCATGGCGCTGGCCATCCACCGGCTGGAGGTGTTCCGCATGGAGTTCTCCTACGGAGTGCACGGCCGGATCTCGCAGACGCGGACCTACACGCGGAACATGGCGGTGAACAGCTACACGAACGTGAAGAACTACACGTGGGACTGCGACGGGCAGCTGGTGGGCGTGGAGGCCCAGGAGCCGTGGGGCTTCCGCTACGACGACAACGGCAACCTGCTCTCCCTCACCTACCGCGGCAACACCATCCCCATGGAGTACAACGCCCAGGACCGGATCGTGAAGTTCGGCGAGGGGCAGTACAAGTACGATGCCCGCGGCCTGGTGGCCCAGAACGCCCGCGAGGAGCGCTTCCACTACAACACCCAGGGTCTGCTGGTGCGGGCCTCGAAGCGGGGTCGCTTCGACGTGCGCTACTACTACGACCACCTGAAGCGCCTGACCACCCGCAAGGACAACTTCGGCAACGTGACCCAGTTCTTCTACACGAACCAGCAGCGGCCCTACGAGGTCAGCCAGATCTACTCGCCGCGCGACGGCAAGCTCATGTCCCTGACCTACGACGACGTGGGCCACCTCATCTACGCGCAGGTGTACCGCCACAAGTACTACGTGGCCACCGACCAGAGCGGCACGCCCCTGATGCTCTTCAACCAGTACGGCGAGGGCATCCGCGAGATCATGCGCTCCCCCTTCGGCCACATCGTCTACGACTCCAACCCGTACTTGTATCTGCCCATTGACTTCTGCGGCGGCATCCTCGACCAGGTCACCACCCTGGTGCACATGGGCGACGGCCGGGTCTACGATCCCCTGATCGGCCAGTGGATGTCGCCCGACTGGCAGCGCGTCGCCGAGCGGATCATCACCCCGACCCGTCTGCACCTCTACCGGTTCAACGGCAACGATCCCATCAACGTGGGCCACGAGCGCCATTACCCCGAGGACTTTGCCGCCTGGATGAAGACGCTGGGCTACAACGTGGGCAACCTGGTGCCCCAGCTGGCACGCAACCTGTGGCAACCGCCAGCGCTGTGGGGCCGTCCGCCCGCCAACCCGGTGGCCCTCAACCTGCGTCGGCCCTTCGACAACATACCCACGATGGCGGTGGAGAGCGGCTTCCTGGCGCACCTCAACATCCGCCGGATGTCCGACTTCGAACAGCTGTCGGCGCCGCCAAGGTCGGCGCTCAAGTGCGACGTAATGGACCCATCGCCGCGATCGATCGGCTCGGACACGGAGCCGCCGTTTGGCAAGGGCATTGTGGTGTCCCGCACGGCCGACGGCCAGGCCATTGTGTCCAGTGTGCCGGCGGCCAATGCCATCTACCGGGACGTCTACACGAGCGTCTTCAACCGGTCCAAGCTGCTGCCCTTCACGTTCGTTGTGCACAACGCCCAGCAGGACTCGTTCTTCTTCGTGAAGGAGGACGCCTGGCGCGCCACCGAGGACCGGCAGCAGCTGAAGCGGCTCCAGGGTCAGGTGAACACCACCTTCCACGAGATCACCCGCGAGAGTCCGGTGGGCGGTGCTGGCGGCCAGTCTGGCTCCAGCAGCTCGGCCTCCTCCTCCTCCTCCTCCTCGGGCGCTTCGTCGGGCGGCAACTACCTGGACGTGAAGATCCACGGAGCGCATGCCATCATCAACCTGCGCTACGGCACCACCGTCGCCAAGGAGCAGCAACGCCTGATGCACCACGCCAAGCTGACGGCAGTGCGGAAGGCGTGGCACCGCGAGAAGGAGGCGCTGCGCAGCGGCCTCACCACCGCCCTGGAGTGGAGCCAGCAGGAGAGCGAGGAGATCCTGAAACAGAGCTACGCCAACAACTACGAGGGTGAGTACATCCACGACGTCGCCCTGTACCCGGAACTGGCGGAGGATCCCTACAACATCAAGTTCGTGAAGAAGAAGGGCGCCACCGGCGGTGCGGCGGGGGTGCCCAACTCCCGACGACGCCGAAGATCCACAGACTCGCAGACCTCGTCCTCGTCCGACTGTTAGCTCGCGGCGATCCGACCAGGAGGCCAGGAGGCATCCACCCTCAACTAGAAAGCGCGGAGGAGAAACAGTTAAACCGAAGAACAGGAGACATAATTATTTATATTTATACATACATATAGATATATATATATATATACTCGTATATATATATATAAAATAGTGCATAAATCTATGTTATCGAACCAGTTTTTTGATGTCAAGGAACATTATATATATACACGTATACATAATATTTTTTTTTTATTGTTAGCCACTAGAGAAAATAGAAGGATAATGGAAAGATGAGGAAGAGGAAGCGACATGCCAACATAATCCCATGTAGCTGCATGTGCGTGTATATGTGTGTGTGTGTGTGTGTCGTCAGCTAAAGATACAGATACCGATACAGATACAGATAGAAGCACGGATACAAGAGTTATAGATATACAGATATATATATAAAGGATAGCATAGTGTAGTAGTCATATGAAGCATAATGCGTACCATACTTACCGACATATGTACATGCATACTCACCACAATAAGGGGGGAGCGGGGCTATTTAGGGGGGGGACTACATATTAGAACAGGGGGAGGGGGGACGATCTGGAACGAAGGTGTATCTTTTTTTCGTGGTACTCGAGCTTTTTGAGACTGGCATAGTTTTAAACAAAAAAACACAAAACCCACACCACATACCACATACCACCCACGGGGACTGACCGACGGACATAAAGCCGATCCTGACGGATCCACCCAACCACAGATTGTACATATACGAGGCAGAGATGGGGCGGGGCGGGATGGACGGCTGGGAGACCAAAAACACACACATACAGCCTACACTAAACAACCAGTTCTGGGGTTGTGGGAGATTTTTGCTTAGCGAAAGCTTTCTCTCATTTGCTTTGCACAGTGTCAGCTTCAAAAATTCATTCTGCAAAAAAAAATTAAGAAATCTTAAGAGAAGAGGAAACAAAAAAAAACGATTAACCTAATTATTAAATTTAAAAAAAATGGAACAAAAATCTAGCTGCTAGGCAAAAAAATGTTTTTTTTTTATTAAATTATATGAATGGATATAAATAAATATATATAAATATATACATACAATTAATTGAGAAACACACACACATATTTATAGAGAGAAACCTATAGCTGTAATGTCCTGATAGATAAGTTTAAGTTTTTTTGTCCTACTTAATTAATTAATTTATTCATAACTATTGTTCGTGGCCGAGGCAAGGGTAACGGGAGGAGAAACCACACAAAAAATATTTAAAATCGAAGTGGAGTCGTATTAAATCGAATTAATTTTAATGATACGTATTAATGCTATTATTGTATGAGAATTGTGAAATGTTTTGTTATTATTTGTAAGTCTGCTTCTTCGAGAAACCACCCAGCTCAATGCGGCCCAATAAACTCACTCTCAAATAAAGCTTAACAGCAAAATAAAGAATAAATAAAAACCAGTATTACAAAAAAAAAAAAAACAAGAAGAAACCGAAAATGGAGCGGAAACTGAATATATAGAGATATATATGATTTCAGCTGGGAACCTTGAAACTCGAACTAACAAAATTGTTTCCGTCCAATTGAAATCGCCATTATCGCCAGCAGACCAGATTGAGATTGGGATATATTGGGATGACCGTTTCCGCACTAATTAGAGATGCCAATTAAAGTCGAATTATTTTGAAAATTATCAATTCGCTTCGCTTGACAAAACAAAAAATGAGTCCTAAAGACGAAACCTTTGCTACAGCTCGAATTTCAATTGTTTTCCATGAATTGGTGCTTATCGAATTTATTGCCACACAACTATAATTGTAGGTCCTATAGTTGGGAAGTCTAAGTGGGGTGTATCGTGTTTCCTTGCCTCCTAGAACTTAAGCCAATAATTGCTAAAAACTAAAAAAAAATATTACAAAAAAAAAAAGAATCCGTAGATGGAAGGAAAACAAAAAGATTGCTGAATTAGTTGCGAACAAAAAAGCAAGAAAACGAAATTTTATAAAAATTACCAACCCAAAAAACCAGACCACTAACAAACGAGGCCAAAAAAGCGATCGATCGGAGATACTCGAAAGAATACTGAATTATAAGGAAAAAAAAATACTAAACAAAATACGAGCCAGCCAAGTAGAACGCAGCTTAGAGCAAGTGAGTGTCCGTATGAGTGTCAGTTGTCAGTGTCCGCTTGCGAGAGGGTGTCCGTGTGAGATGAAGCGTTATATCAAAAAATATGAAAGAGAGGCAGGCGAGTGCGGAATATCTGTGTATATACTAAGGCTAATCAAGGTAAACTAGTGTTATATCGTATATGGCACCCTGCATCGTAATCTACATAGATATTATATTAAAGTAAAAAAAAAAACAAAAATTTAATAATAATACAGACATTTTTTTGTGCTTTTTTTTTCTTCATCGTTGTCGCGCCTAACTAGATGTAAAATAAAACGAGACAAACTATTGGATAATATACATAAATATATATGGATATATGAGTGTATATGTGTACGATTAGTGCTATGTAGATGTACGATGTACGATGTGTGCGGGGTACCACTGTACTTTCCGCTCGAATTTTCTCCCATCTGGTTTTTGATTCGTTTCCGTTTCCGTTTCGTTGATTGGCAAACCAAAACAATTCGAAAAAAGAGCAGGAGTCAGTTACCTATTAGATTTGGCAAAAATGAATACAAAACAAAAAGCAACAACAAAAAAAAAAAACAAAATGAAACTGCTTCAAAAGCAAAAAAAAAAAATATATGAAATAAAATAAAAGATAAATAAATGGCACACTAAAAATTAATATTATGAACTAGAGCATACTATGAAATGGCTTGAAATGAATTAAAAACCTACAAAAATAAAAATAAAAAACCAAAAGAAATTAAGAAGAGCAAGCAGCAAAACAAATATTTATATGTACATAACTGGATGAAACCTAGTATTTTAGTGTATTTATGTTAGAGCTACACCAACTTCATCTTGAAACATCCAAAAAGCTAATGGTAAAGTCGATAAAGGACGAAAATCATGCTGGGAATGGATGTGGAAATATTAGCAAATAAAGAAACAGGGAAACAATTGAGATAAATTAACATTTAAACGTTTTTCACACCACAGACAGACAGACAAACAGAATAAATACCACAAGCTAAGCCACTGGAACAGAACAACACTTACACACACCGCTCTACAGAAACAGACACGATACAAAATACTAGAAATACTAGAAATACAAAAATACAGAAAAAGCACTCGACAGCAAAGCAAACAACAAAATTTAGCAACAACAAGAATTTATGAGATATAATAAATAAACAAATAAACAAAGGTAAATGGTAAATGGAAAATAAACCAACCAAAAGGCAGCAAAAGTTAAAACACTTAATATTAAAAAAATAATGAAAAACAAAACAAAAATTATATTTATTAGAAAAAATAGCAGTGGGTCGCCTTGCCCTCGAGAATCTGTAGTATATCGAACTATGTAATTCACAAAATAGTAAATAAACCGAGGCAAAATATTGTAGGGCAAATTCAAACTAAAAACTAAACAAAAAACCAAAATCGATAACGATTAACGATAACGAAAACGAGAGAACCCTAACATTTTTTTTTGTCTGTGTAAGCTTAGTGGAGTATGGCCGGCTGGGGGGAGGCTGGAGGGCTGTGTGGTGGATGGATGGTATGGGGGATGTGCTAGTCGGTAGGTGGGTGTGTCTGCTTCAAACCGATAACACCTCCTGCCCTGCCCTGCCCCACTCCGACCCGCCCCCTCTTCAAATGGCTAAAGCAAAACGATAAACGATAACCCAAAATCCCATTCATCACCTAGATCCCCTAGGCATATGCATATATATACATATATATATCTAACGGTAAATGAACAATTATATATGGCATTATATTACCAACAGCAAGAAAAAGAAAAACAGTAAAAAAAAATGACATAACGATTATGATAATTATTGCAATAATGATAATGATATACCATATATGTAATAATGATTTCAGCGCGAAACGAGAATATTTTAAGCGTATTAAGTTGAACTATATTAAATATATATATATATATATATATATACAAAAATATATATATAAAGAAACAAAAAAAAAAAATGCGAAAAGCTATAAAAATAAACCAAAACAAAAAAAAAATAAGAAAACCACACACACAACACAACTTCTGAGGATATCAAGGGTCTAAGAATAAATAAAAACTAATGAATTAATTAAAAATAAATAAATGAATATGAAAACTAAATGTGAAAAAATATCAAAGTGTTTTTATTTATGGATAAAGTTTTTGGGTTTTAGGTTTCTGTTTCAGAACTTTTTTGGAAAGTTTTCAGGAGCAAGGTCTTAAAGGTAAGGTATAAGATTATAATACATAAATACAAAAATTTTTTTTGAAATTTTGAATCTGTTTTTCAAATGAAACCGCTTAGTACTTGAAAGTACCATCCAATTTTCTAGACAACCCCAAACTTTTATGATCAGAATCTTCATTATTTGGAATATTTTTTTGGAAAATTGTATTTATAAAGTTTCTATTGTAATTTCATTAAGTCAGATCCTTCCTGATCCTTCCTTTTTGAATTTTTTTCAGCATTTTGTTTGCTTTGTTGTTCCATTTTAATATTCCGTATCGAAACTGCTGGGGGGACTTTGACTTTTGGCACTTCTTCCCAGCATTTTTTTTTGTTTTCTTTTTTTTTTTTGGCTGGGTGTCAGGTCTAGGCTAGAAAACAGCTCTTGGTGCAGCAACGCATACTGATGACTGGAAAGACGACAAGGACGATGATGGAAGGTAAGGATGAGGACGAGGACGACGATGAGGATGAGGATGCCTGCAAGTCTGTAATTGAAATGCAGAAAATGGAGAGCAGCCCCCCCAAAACAGCCTCGACCCGTTCAGGTGAGTGCCACGCCCCCTGTGTCCGCCCAGCTTGTGTTGAAGATAAATAATGCAGCAGGAGCTATGCCGGCAGAAGGAGAAGCAGAAGGAGCACAGGATGCTTTCTTCATCTGTCTCGGCCTGAGCCGCTGTTGACACATAGTTTGTAGTTGGTAAACAGGCAACACACAACTGCTCAACGAGCACCTGAAGATGCTTTGTATAAATTTGAATATTTAACTGCAGGTGCAGGATAGATGCACAAGGCAGTAGCAGTAGCAGGAGCACAAGGCACAAGTCTGAGGCTGAGGCTGAGGCTGAGGCATTGCCGCTGGCAGTTGCAGTAGCAAGTTGCAGTAGCAGTTCGGTTACTGAGGCACGAGCCCAAGCATTTCACTTAAATCCAGTGCAGCTGCAGCTGCTCAGGGCGAGCCACGGAGTGAGGGTTTAGGGCCAAATCTTTTGGCAAATTCAGACAAACCCTTCTCCTCCTCATCATCATCCTCTTTGAAGCCTGAACGAAGCCAGCTCCTTCCAGCCCCCCAAAACTCATTTGGCATGCATGTGTGTCAACGCTCTGGCCAAGACATCCACAGCCACACCATCTAGGATGATTTTTATGTATGCATTTCGGGGCTTAACTTCCTTGGGTGGCACAACTAGCTCCTCCTGCCGCGTCTGCCCCTCCAGCCCCGTTTCTCCCACGCTTCAGTGGCCATAATGCCTGGGTACTTCGATTCGGGAATACAATTGCGAACTTGGCAAAGTGCTTTATTCTTTAAAATACTTGCTCAGGTCATTATGGTTTGTGGTTGCAGATAGGTGTAGATAGATTTAAGATACATTGTTGTTCTAAGATTGTACTGGCACTTATAGAGGATACATTTTAGAGTCTTCCGAGATTTATCATAAAACTAGGATGAGAATTAGAGCTCAATATTATAATTCGTACTTTCCGCTTTGCAATCTATTTGAAAACGGACAATCACTTTAGAGATCCAAGGTTGCAGAATGGCGAGCAAAGGATCTACGATTTATAAATGGTATTCCGTTTTTGAATCGGTTGCGAAATAGTAAAGATATTCACTAAA